CGAGGTTTGATTACCTTTTATACCTATATTTGTATTTTATCTCCATGTAGGTATATAAAGAAGAATAAAAGTTATTTTACAATAATTATTTCAAGCAATAATATTTGCTTCCAATAAGTGCATAAAGGCAAAATTATTCCAAGCGAACGAATACTTATTCTTTTCCAAGTTCCTTCCGTCCAATTCTCCGTGGTTCTACATTCTAGCTCTTATACTATATTGTTGAATTAATCAAAATTTAAATAGGTATCTCTCATACTTTGTAGCTATTAGTCTTATACTTTGACTTTATATTCGAGTTCAACTGTGAATAATAGAATAATAATGAAGAGAATATTTTGAACGTAAATACGAGTACGTTATAGTGCGTCTATGAATGTTTACTAGGTAGTAAACATTATATTATTGAAACCTATCCATTAATTAAACTAAACCGTTTATTGAATAAATCAATACACTTAAGTAAATAGACAGAAAAAAACACCTAAAACGCGATAATTTATACATTAATTCACAGTTGGACAATTAGTGCCGCATTCTGCTGCATTCATTATAGTTTGTTTGGTATTAGTAATTAGTTGTGGAGAATGTGCCAAGGTGAAGCGATTTATTTCACACTGACTCATCTCGGGGCGTGGGTGGTACAATGCCTTCTATTGTCAGATGGATTAAGGCAGGTGCAGTTTGTAATTTTGGCGCCTACTTACTTCAATACTGTAGTGATTCATTAAATAGGATATAAATAAATAATGCGTAATTTGCATTAAACTGTTAGCGTCTTTAAGCATTTTCCAAAGCATGTAGCGGGATATTCATCAATTCTAAGTGCATTCTAATAATTCTTTTTTCCATCCAATGTTTTATGTTTTGCCATAGCTCATTATGATATCCTTTGAATTTATCGTCATTATTTTATGTAGAAGAGTAAAATGTATACAGTTCTATGAAGACCCTTTTATTTTCCATAATGATATCGTGACCTTACATGGTACGACGATATCATGGACGTACACTGAATTTTTTATTAAAATATCAAAAGTTTTTCTTCTTTCGGAGTCACTGCATGCCTTTCTTTATGAGTTTCTATTTTTGTTTTATACCTATAATGATTTAGTAATTAATATAAATTTGTTTACGTATTAAAAAATCATGCATAATATACATTTTTTTTTTATTTTTTTTTATACAACTTAGAATGGCAAACAAGCTGACGGCCCACCTGATGGAAAGTGGTAACCGTCGCCTATAGACATGAGCAGTACCGTGGACATAACAGAGTATACTGTTTCGCCCATAATACCCCCCATGTGTTGCCATTCCTGAGAACTCAGGTGTTACTCCTCTGTACCCAGTAAATTCACGCCATATCCCACCCTTCAAACCGAAACACAGCCATGCAAACACAATTGCTTCACGGTTGAAACACGAATAGGACAGAGGTACCCAAGCAATCGACTTCTGTACAGAGTCTCCCTCTGGTACATACATACATAGACATCCCTATAAATCCAGACTATAAGCTGATTGTGGAAAATCGTATGACTTTCTTTAATTTGATCGACGTGTTAAATCCTAATGAATTTTAATACCATTTCTTTTGACAACTTATCTATCTATACTATGATGGTAAATACATATTCATTCATTATATATTTCGTATACATATACAATATATATATGTATATGTATACAACATACTAATATTTTTATTTTTCTAAATGTCACGGCTATGTCTCTACTTAGGTCCATTCTGAAACTAACTGACTCTAATGACTTTATTGATTTGTCAAGGATTATTTTAAATCTCTAGAGTAGGTAATATGCATAAAGCGTAACATATTATTACTGAAACCTCAGCAATATCTACGTGTTTTTATAATATATTATAAATATAATATAAAAAATATAATGCTACTTAGAAAATCTTTTATTTTCATATCTAATATATTTCTGATATTGTAACCTGTGTATTCTGAGACATACGAGTAGATTAAGAATAGTATAATAGTAGAGATCTTAGTGCCTTATTTAAAACTAAATTCATCTTTAAAAAAGTTATAACAAGTTTTTCAAAAGAATGTATTCTATCCAATTTTAAAATATCATCATGCGTATAATCCTTTTACTAATAATTATATAGATAAAATATACATAGCGACTTTGGGACGGTAACCTTACGACCCATGCACTCGCAACCTACGAGTATATATCTCTCTCGATTCTAATGACTAATGATAATCATATATTTCGTTTAATTAATTAACTACATAAATAACTATGATATAATACTTATTGAATATTACTAAAACTATTAAGGAATACTTACTATTTTACGCTCAAAATATGCAAGTCTCAAAATATAAAATTTTTGTAATTGTTGAATATATACATCAGGTGGTCTGCCATGAAATGAAATTCCGAATTTTCGGGCTCAATTTCGTGTTTTTGTTCGTACCGAAATCGACCCAGTAAATGGAGCTTAACATTTCGTTCATCATAAATCCTATCCTAATAGTCCAGAGGAACAATATTATAACATTTTAAAAAATTTAAACGGCATTTATTATGTTATTTTAACATCAAATTTCTGTTTCGTTTGTCCTCGAAATTTCGAAATATATTTCATGGTAGGCCCTCAGAGGTAAGGTATTTATGGAAACAAGAAGCGAGTTTTGTGGTGTCTGCCTACAACATTGGTTATTGATTGTATTTTCAATAATAATAATAATAATCCTCTACCAATGTGTAACATTCCTTAATCTTAGTCCTAATGCGTATAATAATGATTTTCATTTTAATCAGTACAGTAATTATATACTCACTTTCACAATACAGTACTGTGTAATTACATAGCAACCAATCCAAAGTGAAAATGCAATTATACTATTATTTCTTTGTATTACATTACTGTACATTACAGTACATTTATACTTAACATTGGCATAAATTCTACAAATACGAATATTATAAATTTACTCTCGCTTTAATGAAATGGGTATCATAATAGATATCTTATAACAACTGAGTTTGTTCAATTGGCTCATCTTGATAAATTCATCACGAATTAATAATGACGGATTTCAGGGAGAACCACATTTTTTTCATTTGCAACTTAGAATGGTAAACAAGCTGACGGCCCACCTGATGGAAAGTGGTAACCGTCGCCTCTATCAGTATTATATTATCTCTGCCTCTATCTATATGAGCAGGACCATGGGCATAACAGAGTATACTAATTCGACTATGATACCCCTCATATATTCATTCCTGAGAACTTAGGTGTTATTCCTCTGTACCGTGTAAATTCACTGCAATATTGCCCTTCAAACCGAAACACAGCTATGCAAACACAACTGCTTCACGATAGAAACACGAATGGGACAGAGGTACCCAAGCAAACGACTTTTATACAAAGTCACCCCCTGGCAAACATGAAGGTTGACTGAGCAAAAGTTCACTCATTTATTACTTATTTACTGCTACTATTAGCCAAAAATTTTCCATTAGTTGGTTATGTACTAAATACATTACACTTAATAACGTTTAACTGGACTTAGATTGATTGTAGCATAGATTGAGTAATCTGCAAATGCTCTACATTTAGAGATTATTTTAATTGATTGATACCACACACAGTAGGTAACTGTGTATTTTACGTATATAAGTTATAATATGATATTTGCTACTTATCTAAGTCGGTAAATAATAAACATGTAATAATCGGCAATCACCAAAAATATTCCTACAACTGAACAAACATTATATAATGTATTAAAACAGCTATAAATTATTAAATTTTTAAAGTACTGTAGTAAAATACGAATATAACTACTTTAAAACTATTTTTATTTTTAACCCAAAATGAATTTCTATTTTAAATAAATGACGTTAATCTCTCTCCTCTCTTTTCATTGAAGAGTTTTCTCTTATTGGTGCAACTAGTTCATGCATTCTCTTACAACCAGCTCTATTTCAGGCCATATTTTTGACCTCCCTATACGACATGACACATAGTGATTCTTTTATCTGTTCTGTGTAGTTATTTCTCGGTCTTTTCCCTCCTCATTTGCTCTCTATTTTTCCTTCTAGTATGCTTTTTAAATGTGGCCGCCGTGTAGTCCCGGCATAGAATAGGCCACCTTTTCCTTTTCTGCGGGTGTCGTTAGAGTCTACTAAGGGCGAGGGATGGGCAACAGTGTCCTTCTTGAAACATCTCAAAAAGCCTTACTGCGGTTACCAAACCGCCTGCTAAACGTGGTAACTACAGATGGGCAAAGCACCGGGTTTAAACCCGGTGCTTTGGTAAAAACCCAATAAACACCCATAAACTCCCATAATCACCCAAAAAAATAGGTTTTTACGTATTTTTTTGAAAATATGTAAGTAATACCAATAAATTATTTTTATAAATTGTATTGATCAATTCTACAATATTAAATAAAACGTTAACTAATAATATTTCAGGAAATTTTAAAAATCTATATATAATAAAATGAAAGTAATTAATTTTCAGTGTTTTCATGTTGCAGTTGATCAACATGTTGGCCTTTTGCTTCCCGTAGATACTTTAAAATTTCTTCATAACACCTCGTTCGCACACATGGCCGTATATATTTAAATTCTTGAGCCACTAACAGTCCGAAATACTCATTTCTTTTATCCTCTTCTCCATAAATTAAGCATTTAGAACAGTTTGTTTCTTCTTTCAGTAAATTTTCTTTTACTTTATCCTCGTTTTTTTCTTTGTTGCGACGACGCTGGGTAAATCATCTGGACACTGGGTCTCACTATCGCCAAATATATTTGGAGATCGGCTTCGGCTACGGCTTGGCAGACATTTTTTTCTTTCTACAATTTTAAATTAAATTTATTAGAATAAATGCTTCGAACACACGCGATCTAAGTACCTTTTGTGTTTATTATACCTTACCTACCTAGGTATAAAAAGAGTACTTACGTAGATTTTCTTTTATTAACTGTTTTATACGAAGATCTTGATCTCTCAAATTAGCATCCATTTTACTTCCAGTGATTATCAACTAAATTAATAATCCACAAAGTATTAAATAACGTTTTTATGAAATATTTAGCACAAAAACAATACCCTTTAAATATCGATCGTCAGTAACTGTGGCTGACTTACCTATATTCTAGCAAGCAGGACTGCCAGATGTGAAGGGGAAATCCCCAATAAATTGTTGCATGTGACTGATGATGTGAGCATGTTCGTTTCATAATAAAAATGTTGCCAGGTAACCAAAAAGTCGTATGTTTTTGTGCGAATTACGATCATAATCTTTACGATCGTACATTAAAAAATAGACAAATAATAGTATGAGTACGATTTAAATCGTATATCTGTCAACCCTGCTAGCAAGACAGCGACAAAATCACGTTGCATAACAATGTAGCCCAAGCTTATATCTTATGAAATATACGGAAGAGATACGGACTTAGAAAAAACAGAAATGTTGTTCTTTGTGGAAGTCATTGATGAAATTCTATGTATTTTAGCCCGCAAACTTTCTTCAAACAAAAACAGCGCCATCTAGTATCGAGTTCTGTAATTATCTCTTTGTTTATGGATTTGAAGTAAGACCGCCACGCATGCAATACATTATGACTGGGGATTCCCCTATTCGTCGACGCTGAATATGAGGCGACGACAATCACTGTCAAACGTGTTCACTATTACTCTGACTCTGGTAACGTGACTTCCTGGTAACGTGTTAGGTAGGAAAAGCAGTAAAAAAGTGCATATTAAGGGAGCAGATTTGAAATAATATTTATACTTAACAAGAAATAATTAAAGGTAAGTGGATTTTTGAATGATACAATTATATCATGATCACTTAACAATTTTAACTTAAAATTAGATGTATTATTACAAGCTTTTATTTAGCTTGCGTTATGTAAATAAAAGTATGTAGGTATGTTCGTATGTTGATGCAATTATCCTCAATCCTCAACCGACTGGGATAAAATTTTCCATACACGTTTATTTTGGATGATAGTGCATAGTTAGCTGAGAGTCGTCATTGGATAATAATGGTGGATAGCCTAAGATGTGTACTAGATATTTATTTTTAACATAATATGCGTAAGTACCTAATCGAATTAAAGAAGTTGCTGAGAAAAATACAGAACAATACGATAATAAACTAGCGTCTGCGTTTAATCCTCTGAGGAGATGTAATTTTACAAAGGTTTTTTGTATTTATTTTATTATTTTTTTAATAAATTTATTGTAAATAACAAGAAATAATCATTGTAAAAAAATAGGCACTCTATTGTTGAATTTTCGTCAGACCAACTAATCATCGTTCATTTTTTTAGGTTCAATGGGGAGACCTAAAGATTTACGCATATGGGAGCACTACCGTACTTTACCAAACAAGTCTGTTTCTTGCAAGCTTTGTAATAAGGTCTACAAATTCAGTAATGCTGCCAAAATGCTTCAACATCTTATCACTTGTCCAAAATCTCCAGAAACATTAAAAGACTCTATGAAACTTATAAAAGATAGCTCGTCCAAAACCAAAATGTCTGGACTGTCAGAGATAGAGACAAATGATTCTTTTATAAGCCCCTCGTCGTCTGCTAACACTACAATAAATGCTGAGTTTCAAGACACCGATGATCATATAAAAACAGAATTAGCGAGAGCTATATTTGTAACAGGGACGCCATTATCGATGGTGCAACATCCTTTATGGATACAATTTTTCGAAAAATTGCAACCAAAATTTAAAATACCTTCACGTAAAGCTTTAGCGACAAAATACTTAGATAAAATATATAGAGAAATGCGTTTTGAGTTAAATGAGGAACTAAATGCTTGTAGTTACTTACACCTTCAGTGCGATGGCTGGTCTAATTTAAGAAATGAAGGAATAATAAACTTTCTTATATCAAAACCTCAACCTGCATACGTTAAAAGTTTGAATACAGAAAGTAATCCTCACACTAGTGAATACCTTAGCCAAGAAGTTGAAAAAGTAATGAAAGTGTATGGAGCAAATAAGTTTCTTGTACTTATTGGCGATAACGCTAGAAATATACAAAAGGCATTCGAATTAACAAAACTCAAATATCCACATGTTGTTCCTCTCGGTTGCTGTGCACATATCCTTAACTTGTTGTGCCAAGATATTGTAAAGATACAAGAAGTAACTGTGTTTATTATGCAAGCCATAAATATAATAAAAACTGTTAAAAGGAGTCAACGATTAAGTTCCTTGTTGATAAAATCAAGGCAGGGTGAAGATTCTACACAAACACTAAAATTGCCTTGTGCTACAAGATGGGGAAGTCATGTTACTTCGTTAAAAAGTTTGAAAGCAAATAAGATAGCTTTGCAAATATTAACAGTTAGAGAAGATGTGGTAATTTCAAGAGATATTAAAGATTTAATTCTAAGTGATGATTTCTGGACGAAGACAGGGGAATGTATAAGTATTTTGGAACCAGTCACTGAAAGCATATTTTACTTAGAGAGCGACCAGAATCGTTTGCATCGCACATACATTACATTTAGAGATGTACAAGCTAAGATACGTTTTGCATTAAATGAGATTTCGACATTGAGCGAAGAAAGCAAACAGCAGATTCTAACATCAGTATCTTCAAGATGCAATATGGCAATGAGGCCAATACATTTTGCAGCATATATTCTAGACCCCAGGACTCTAGGAGTCGAACTTACTCAAGAGGAAGAACTTAAGGGTATGGAGTTTATCTACAATTTAAGCCAACACTTAAGTTTGTCAAATGTAATGGCAGATTTGGCGTGTTATAAAGCTAAAGAAAACTTTTGGGCCAGAGGATTTGTATGGAGCTCATTAGATAGCATTGAGCCCCTAATATGGTGGAAAGGTATTTGTGGTTCCACTGAGTTAAGCAAAGTAGCGATTCGTATTCTATCAGCTCCCTGTACTTCGGCAGCCACTGAGCGTTCCTTTAGTATCCAAGGCTACATACATAATAACAAAAGAAATCGACTTACAACTGAAAGAACTGAAAAAATTTCATTCATTTGTTATAACTGGAATCTAAAACATAAAGCTGAATGCGAGGACATTCAGTTTAATGAAGAAAATACCTTAGAAGCTTTCATTGAGCAAGTAAATGAACATAACAGTTTAGACGAAATAGAGCCTATCGAACCTATACAATTCATCGCTTGTAATAACTCTGAATCTGACAGTGATTGACTGTAGTTTTACATTTTACTTTCATCTCTTTCTTAATAAACTCAAAATCAAATTAAAAGTTTTTTATTCTGTAGGCTGCATAATAATATTGTCTATGTCCAGTATAGTGGACGTCTTGCGGCTGAGATGACGATGATGAAGTACAAAATCATAAACACCCAAAAATTTGGGTGTTTATGGGGTTTAAACCCAATAAACCCAAAACACCCGGTTTTTACCCACCAGACTTTAAACCCACCCAGGTGGATTGCCCATCTCTAGTGGTAACTACTGGCAAAACTCCCCTTATGGGGAAGATGTATGCTCAGCAGTGGACAGTTAACGGCTGAAATAATAATAATACTTTTTTTTAAATTGTCATGTTATATAAGGTGGCACAGCATTTTGCCTCATCTCTGTTGATTTTATTAATATTCTTTTAGCAGAAAACTGCTATAAAAATAGTGTTTCAGTACGGTGACGAAATGAGAATTAGTAATGTAATTACAAAATTACATGCTTGTCTTGTTTTTCTTTATAAAATGAAACGGGGCAAATTTAAACGGTTACGTTGCATATTATGTTTAATAATGTTTAACCATCACTGCAACAGGTAGGTAATCAAAGTCCACATGAATAGGTGGTCATTAAAGATAGAAACGTTGTTGTGTCTACGACATAGGAATTACAAAATTAGGTAACATAGACTACCTATGATGGACTGTAATATAATTGAAAAATTACACAATTACAGCAGCTTAGATCATATAGATCTCTTTCTATATAATTTAATCAGATAAATTGACGTTTGGCATTAAATTTTGTAATAAGTATATAAGACTTAAATCAAAACAAAGGCGTCATATTAATGTCGTAAATATTTTAACTAATATGAAGATACTCTATCTATATAATGTAATAACACAAATAGCTAAGCATTAACTATATATGTAACGAATTTTATAAATAAATATTTTGTCCACTACTTCGTATTTGTGGTTTCAGGACTAATCAATGAATAAAAATACTACCTCTAGATAGCGTATTAAGATAAAACATTCACTAGATTATAAATGAGACTTTCTAGAATACAACTATGAAAACTGCGTCTTATTTTGTGCAGTATTTTTTACATTATGCCGAAACAAACATACAGAGAAAGAAAAAACCCCATAAATTATGTTTTGATCTCTATTGGTTTAATAAGATGATTGTAAATACAAACGTATTTTTACTGATATTTGTATCATAATTATTTCTAAATCCATTCATATGCCATTATAGACTTAAACCAAAATACATTATATAAAAACATCTGTAAAGACGTCTGTAATGGCCAGTATTATAATCTTACATTTTTACTATTATATTATATTATATCATCAGTTAACTGTCCACTGCTGAACATATAAATTTTGCCAGTAGTTGCCACGCTTGTTAGACGGGTTAGCAACCGCAGTTAGACTTTGACGATGTTTTAAGGGGGATGCTGCTGCCCATCCCTCAGCTATTGAATTCCCTCAGTCGTCTATTACGACATCCACGAGAAAGAAGTGGCCCATCCTGTACTTAATACATGGCAATTCTAATATTAAGACACCTCATATAAATGTTTCTTAAACATCTCCCATCTACAGACTAGGTCAAGTTACACCCCTTTCGTTTCCGTGGATATCGTAAGAGATGACTAAGGGAGGACTAAGGGATGGGCAACAGCGTCCTTCTAAAACATCTCTCACCGCATACACATACACATGGGCATAATGGGTCACTACTACCTTTGTTGTGGGTATTGTAAAAGACAATGAAGCGACTAAGGGAATTTAATGGTCGAGGGATAGGCAGCAGCGTCATCCTTAAATCATACAACAACAAGCCCAACTGCGGTTGTCAATCCGCCTGCCAAACGTGGCAACTACTGGCAAACCCCCTAAGAGGGAGGCTTATGTTCAGCAGTGGACGGTTAAGGGCTGATAGGATAATGATGCTTATTTTACCGCACATATTGTTATCTCTCATGCATTGTCGATTCTGAGGATTAAGATTTTATACTTCTTGTGTCAAAGATTGCATTGATTTTTGCGTTGAACTCTTATGTCTTATTACATTACATAATAAATTGAACAACAAACCACAAACTGCACTTCGTAGTTGAACATCGCAACGTCGAATTTAAGTAAAAATTATCTGCAATGATTCCCAACTCCAAATCCTTATATGTAAACATTACGAAACTAGTTATGTTCTAACTATGTAATCAATGTTATTAGGGGAACTTTTTTTTTTAATTCGTGTCGTATCTGTTTACGCATTGAGCGAAAGTGATTCACCATACAGAGATGTGTAACAATGAACGAGGTCGAGATTTTAGCGCACTCGTTATCTAACTACCTACCCATTTGATGCTGCTTCGCTTTACATCTCTTGTACAGATAGGCACTGTTCAGTTACCCAAGGACCTCGCCTTGTTTGAACATTGAACAAAAGGATTAGACCCGCAAGTAGATAATCAGCTTTAAAAACTCATGACTTTGGATTCAAAATACCTTGTTTCATAATCAGGTTTGGGTAGAATCATTCCTATTAAGGAGTGCCATCTGACCTCGGGGTCAGGTACACGTATTATAAAGGTATCTGCCAAATATATATACAGTTAATAATTGTTGTTGTAACATTCCATTCTGTTCGTACGAAATCGAAATTAATAATGTCTACATTCAAGTGGAGGCACGCGCACACCCGAGCCCTGAATTCGAAAAGGCATAGGTCGAAAATACTATAAACTATACAACGTCGTTAATCAGTAAAAAAGTCGAAACTAATTTATTATAGGTACCATATTACCTATGCTTATTAGTATGTAGTTGTTTGGGAACAATATCAGAGACGATTTAAAAGTAATTACACATTTTCTGGACCCAAAATAAAAAAATTAATTTATAGTCCAACGAATGTATGATATTATAGACTAGTAAGAACTATAGTTAATAATACATAGAGTTTGAATAAAATTTGTAATGAATTTAATTCTTACTAACAATTCGTTGTAGCTAAAAAGATTCACCTGAATTTTAGTGATAGAAAATGGCGCTTCAGAATTCACTTTATTATATTTCTAAAACATCTCGAAAATATTAATTATGTTTACAAATCTTATTTTAGTATCGTTTAAATTATTGTAAACTAGTTTTATACAGGACTTCGTACACGTGACTAGGATATGATTGTTTAACAGGATAAAAGTCACCTATATCCTTCTCCATCCCAATAACTACTTGTAATTTCGTTTCAAATTGAGCCGTTTTTTTTTTTGATGGGTGAATATGGTATGGTAACTCCGCCTGCGCTAACGAGATACGCTGACGGAGCACCAGTGAAGGGTGATAGATGAGAATGAAAACAGGCCAATTAGCCTATCATGATGAATTCGTCAGGAATTAACCATGATAGTTTCCAGGGGGAACCGCGAGAAGGTCGACCTGGTTGGGTATATTGCTAGCAATGGGAGTCTGTCTCCATCACTAACAATCCCTTTCCCCCCCAATCGAGTCGTTTAAACATCACAAGGTACATACTAACAAAGTCGATTTAGTCATCATCATATCAGCCATTAATTGTCCACTGCAGAACCTAGGCCTTCCCCATAAGCAGGGCTTTGCCAGTAGTCAGCACGCTTGGCTGTCAGTTTGGCAACCGCAATTAGGCTTGTTGTTATATGGTTTAAGAGTGATGCTGCTGACCATCCCTCGACTATTAAGTTCCCTTAATCGCTTCCTTGCCTCTTACCACCCACAAGAAAGAAGATCCATGTGAATCCGTTAAGCTTGGTTGAAGAACATCGAAATATTTTTACAAATATTTTTAGCAGTAATATAACCAGCAACAGAATACCATGAAATCGGGGGGAAAGGTATTGTTAGTAATGGAGACTAAAAATCCCATTGCCAGCAATATACCCAACCAGGTCGACCGCCTCGTGGTTCCCCCTGAAAACTATCATGGTTAATTCCTGATGAATTCATCATGTTGGGATAACTGGCTTGTTTTTATTCTCATCGATCACCCTTCACTGGTGCTCCGCCAGCGTATCCCGTTAGCGCTGGGGGTTACCAATCCATTTTCATTCACCAAAAAAAAAAAAATACTATGAAATCTATTTCTATGATTAGGATATGTAGATTAAGGAGAATACTTGCTATGCGATTCTTTCTGTCCGAGATATATTTATTATGTGAATTCAAGCAATTATTACAACTATAACCTAGACCAAGAATAATTCATTAAAATTCTAAATACAAAATAAAATTGTTTAATAAAAGTAAGTAGCTGTTCAATATATACTTTTTTTACTTTTCTAGAAGCTAATGGTAACATTAGCTAATGTTACCCATTGTACCACTAACCTGAAAAAACTATTTTTAATCTTTGCCTACTTACATTTCTACATCTAACAAACAGGAAATGGATAAGAGGACCGCAGGTACCTTCATCTATGATTATATGAGACAAACTTATTTGAATTCTAACACAATAGAATTTATCAAAATTATATTGTACTGTGTCTCCAAGAGCATTAACTCACGATTGTTTAGTCGTGTGTCTCTACATACGAAATGCATATTGTTCTGCAGTTTCTCAATAATAGAACAGACATAGTAACCTAGGCAATATATTTTCCAAGCATGTACCTTAGGTACCTAGTTAATTATTGATTGCTTTATTCTATTTTATGCCCAAGACATATTGGCAACTTACTGAATTGTGGCATTACGAAACAAAAGACTTTGTAGTTTTGTTTGTTGGTAATAAATTTTTATTAATTGAATTTCATTACACAAGATTTTTATTCGTTTATCTAAGGTAGCGATTTGGCTCCGGGTATTTGTAGAAGAGAGTTCAATAATTTATAACTATGATTTAAAAATGTCATAAGTAAAAATAATTGAGTTGATTTAAAATCCCGATCAACTCTCTGTCATACAATATAAATAATCCTATTAAGATTTTAATCTAACTGACCCGCTGAATTTCGTATCACCTATAACGCCATCTATTAAAAATATTTCGAAGAAGAGATTAATTACATACAAAATTAATTATTTTAATTACTTGATTTCTCAGCTCTTTAGGGGTTTCTCGAGAACAATACCAGTATTACAATGAATAAAACAAAACAAAAAAACCATTTTATATATATACTCATCGAGATAGGTATGGAAGCTTGTAAGGATGAATGGATGTTTGATTCTTTTTCACGCAAAAACTACTGATTCGATTCG